TCAAAAATGGGGTGTCTACACCAAGGTTATTCAAATTTAAATTCTTATTGATTTTGATTATTGACAAATATTTTGAACTCATTTTAATATTCAAAGTTTTCAAAAAGATTTTATACAAATGTGCTTCATTGTTTCTAAAATATATATGCTTCTATAGTGTTGCTTTTCCAATGGTTTTTAGCCCTCAAAACATGAATTTGCACGTATTTGCACAACACTATCTATGCTCAAAACAGGTCCAAGGGTTGACACCAAAATAGCAAGGGTCAACACCAGAATGAAGTTCACAATGCCTAAGTGTTCCAGCTCCAAGGGTTGATAACAAGCCAGCAAGGGTCGACACTAAATTTCATAATGCAATTCAGCTACAAGGGTCGACACCAAGACAAGCAAGGGTCGACACTAAATTTCAGAATGCAACCTAGCTGCAAAGGCCAGCACCAAGACAAGCAAGGGTCGACACTAAATTTCATAATGCAATCCAGCAGCAAAGGTTGACGCCAAGAATAATAAGGGTCGACACCATGAACATCTGGAAATCAACTAAGAGAAGAAAAGAGACCAAAGGGTTGACACCCAATCTGCAGGGGTCAACACCCATAAAATATGGGTTTCAAAAATCCAGTGGTCAAATCAATCTAGATTGACATAGCCCTTTTCTCCGTCACTTTTTCTGATCTATGTGCAGAATATGTCATCATTTCTGATCCCTGAGCAAATCTTCTGATATCATATCCTCTTCCAAGAAGTTAACTTATGAAGGTGAGCATTTAATGAACATTCTCTTTCCAAGACCTGTCTATAGTCTGTATGCACTATACACTGATCAAACACAGCTGGAAGATATCCTCCATGATTTGCTTCAACGGCTAGAAGATTCAAATCTCCTCTCTCTAATAGCTAGGTGCCATTAATACTATAAAGAAGAAGCTCTCCTTGTTCGATGAATACACTTCTTCAATACAAGAAACCTAGAGCATTCAAGAGCCTTTAATATACTCCATTGTACTTTCATTTTCATATCTAAGTGAGCCTTAAATTATTTGTGAGCTTACACTTTCATAGCCATCTTTTAAGAGAGAAAAATCTGTAAAAGATGATAATTGTACCTCTTATTCTTCTTCCTTATTTTCTGAGTGCTACACTTGTAAAGTGAGGCATTTAGTTAAGAGGTCCTTAACAAATTGAAGTAAGTCCTTTGTAAAAATCCACAAGCTAGGTAAAGCTTGATGGTGCATTGATTCATAGTAAAGAAATTCTCAATGAGGTATCTTAAGGAGCAGACTTAGGCCAGTGAGCCAAACCACTATAAATCCTTGTGTTTGAGCTCTTATTTCCTTTTCTTTTATTTCTCTGTGTATTAATTACTTGTCTGCTGCATTTAGTCACTTAGTCATTTGAAATCTATTTTTTGGTCATATTTTTTTAATTACGCAATTCACCCCCTCTTGGGTTGCCTTCCTGTGTAACAATTGGTATCAGAGCCTCGTCTTTTGTATTGTGACTTAACTGTCCTTGAGTGATCCATGGCAACCCTAGCTCCTCTCTTCCTGAAGGTCAAGCCTAAAAGAGACCACCCTTCTTCAATGGCACAAATTTTAACTATTGGAAAACTCGTATGATTATGCATATCCAATCTATTGACTATGAGGTTTGGAAAATCATCTGTGATGGTCCCAAAGTCCCTACCAAAACCATAGATGGCTTGTTAGTTCCCAAATTTGAGAGTGAATGGTCTAGTGCTTATTATAAAGATATTCAAGGCAATGTTAAAGCTGTTAATATGTTGTATTGTGCACTTGATGCTACTGAGTTCAATAGAATATGCACTTGTACAACGGCAAAAGAAATTTGGGATAAACTTATTGTAACTCATGAGGGAACTACTCAAGTCAAAGAGTCTAGAGTTAGTGTGCTTGTCCACAACTATGAACTTTTCAAGATGAAACTTGATGAGAACATATCCCAAATGTTCACCCGCTTTACAGATATTATAAACAATCTAAAATCTCTTGGAAAGACTTATACTAATGCAGAAATTGTCAGAAAACCCTCAGATCATTGCCAAAAAGCTGGAAAAACAAAGTCATCGCAATGATAGAAGCAAGAGACTTGCCAACATTAAGCCTTGATGATTTAATGGGATCTCTCCCAACCCATGATCTCATTATGCAAGAAGGAAAAGAAAAAGACAAGAACAAGAAGAAAGGGATAGCTTTCAGGTCTACCTTAAAAGTTCAAGAGGAAGAAGAAGATGCTTCAGAGGAAGATGAAGAAATGGCATTCATTACCAAGAGGTTTAAAAAGTTTGTGAAGAAGAAACAAGGTGTAAGGAAGTTCTTCAAAAAAAGACTTCAACAAAGATTTTCAAAAAGGTGAAAATCATAAAAAAATCTGAAGTTACTTGGTAGAATGCAACAAACCGGGACACTACAAATCAGAATGTTCAGAACTTAAGAAACAATTTAAGAAGGACAATAAGAAAGCCATGATCGCAGCATGGGGAGAAGACAGTGATGATAGCCACTCAGAGACTAACATTTGTAAAAATAAAGTCACAAATTTATGTTTGATGGCGCTTGAAGATGAAGATGAGGTAATTGACGAATCCTTTACTTTTGATGAATTACAAACTGCTTTTGATAAATTGTATGTTGAATTTAAAAAACTGAGTTCGAAAAGTAGTTGTCAAAAGAAAATGGTTTTGAATTTATCACAAGAAAAGGAATCCTCGACTTCTAAGATCAATACTTTAGAAAATGAAGTCTTGACAATCAAAAAGGAGAAAGAATTTTCAACTGAAAAAGAATCTTCCATGTTTGAAAAGAAAGTAGATGATTTGCAAAAAGAAAATGAAATTTTGAAAAAAGAGAAAACTATTTTAAATGAAAACATAGAAGATTTAAAAAAATGTTGTTTCAAAATTTACTCAAGGTAGGTATACCTTAGATAAAATTTTCAAAAGTCAAAATCAATCCTTTAGAAGAATGGGGATCGGATATAAATCTTTTTCAAAAGCAAAAAATTCCAAAAGACCTTTGTTCATGCATCATCTAATCATTCTTATCTCACATGTCATTATTGTGGAAGAAAAGGTCACATCTCACCTTTATGTCCTGCTAAGAGAAATTCATTTGTTAGAATGAAAAAGAAGTGGGCTCCCAAAAACACCTCAAATCCTAACTCTCATGGACCCAAGAAAGAATGAGTACCGAAAGGCGAACAAAAATCTAATTTTTGTAGGTGTGCTTTAGGTCAAAATCTAGCAACAACTGGTGGTACCTTGACAGTGCGTGCTCAAGGCACATGATCGGTGATAAAGTAATGTTCTCAACTCTTAAATCCAAAGAATGAGGTCACGTAACCTTCGGACATAATAGTAAAGGAAAAATCATCGGTGAAGGTAGTATTGGTAAAGCTTCTTTACCCATTATCGAAAATGTGTTGCTTGTTGAAGGATTGAAACACAACTTGCTTAGTATTAGTCAAATGTGTGATAAAGGCAATCATGTCACTTTTGAAAAATCCCACTGCACCATTAAAAACTCTGTTGATAACTAAGTGCTTTTTGTTGGTCATACACATGAAAATGTGTATGTATTTGATTTGCATAGTTTATCTCCTAATCATGATGTTAAGTGCTTGTTTGTTATAAATGAATCTGGCTGGTTATGGCATAGAAGGCTAGGACATGCTCATATGGACTTACTTTCAAAACTTTCAAAATTTGACTTGGTTGTTGGTTTACCAAAAATTGATTTTGAAAAAGATAGACTTTGTGATGCTTGTCAACAAGGAAAACAAACATGAGTTTCTTTCAAATCCAAAAATATTATTTCAACTTCTAGACCTCTTCAATTGTTGCATATTGACTTGTTTGGACCCTCTAGAACTTTAAGTCTTGGTGGTAAATCTTATTGTCTTGTTTGTGTGGATGATTATACTAGATTTACTTGGGTGATTTTCTTAGCACACAAAAGTGATACTTTCTCTGCATTTTCATCTTTTTTGTAAACGTATTCAAAATATGATTAGTCTTGTTATTTGTAGCATTAGAAGTGATCGTGGTAGAGAATTTGATAATGATGAGTTTATTTTATTTTGTAATGAGCATGGCATTCATCATAATTTTTCTGCTCCTTGAACTCCTCAACAAAATGGTGTGGTAGAAAGAAAAAATAGAGTTGTTGAGGAAATGGCTCATATTATGCTTTTTGTGAAAATGATTTGCCAAAATATTTTTGGGCGGAAGCCGTCAATACTGTTTGTTATATTATTAATCGTGCCATGATTAGACCCATACTAAAGAAAACACCATATGAATTGTGGAAATGAAGAAAACTCAACATTGGTCATTTGCGTGTATTTGGTTGTAAATGTTTTGTACTCAATAACAATAAAGAAAATCTTGGGAAGCTTGATGCTAAATATGATGAAGCCGTGTTTCTTAGCTATGCAAATTCTAGTAAAGCTTATTGTGTTTTTAATAAAGGAACTTTACTTGTTAAAGAATCTATATACGTTGCTTGTGATGAATCTAACTCCTTTGCTTCCAAGAATATTGTTAGTGATGATATTGCAAACTCTAATCCAAGAATTGAAGGCATTTACTTATCGGAAAATGATGAACTTGATTCTTCGGAACCCAATGTTGAAGTCTCTATGAAAGATCTCCAAAAAGAGTATGCTCATCCAACAAAAGAAAATAATCTACCCAAAAAATGGAAGTATGCTCATGGACACCCCAAAGATCTCATTATAGAAGATGCCACACAAGGTGTAAGAACTCGTTCTTCTATTCATAATGTTTGTGGCAATTTAGCTTTTATTTCTCAAATTGAGAAAACTTTTTCTGAGGCTAAACACGATGAAAATTGGATTTTTTCTATACAAGAAGAGTTAAATCAGTTTGAAAAAAATGAAGTTTGGTTTTTGACTCCTCATCCAAAGGATCATTCTGTTATTGAATCAAAATGGGTTTTTCGAAACAAAATGGATGAATCTAGTGTTGTTATTCGAAGCAAAGCTAGACTTGTAGCCTAAGGTTATAACTAAGAAGAGGGCATTGATTTTGATGAAACATGTGCACCCGTTGCTCGTCTTGAAGCCATTCGTATGTTGCTTGCATTTGCTTGTTTTAGAGATTTTAAACTTTACCAAATGGATGTGAACAATGCTTTTCTAAATGGGTACATTTTAGAGGAAGTATATGTTGAACAATCTCCCAGTTTTGAAAATCACAAACACCCGGACCACGTTTTAAACTTTCAAAAGCTTTATATAGTTTGAAACAAGCCCCCTTGAGCTTAGTATGAATGCTTAAGCAATTTTCTTATTGAAAAAGGTTTTTCTCACGGGAAAATTGAAACCACTCTTTTTATAAAAACCAAAAATAATGATATGCTTATTATTCAAATTTATGTTGATGATATCATATTCGGTGCTACTAATGAATCCTTGTGTAAGGAATTTGCAAAGGATATACAGAGCGAATTTGAAATGAGTATGATGGGAGAATTAACATACTTTCTCAGATTACAAATAAAACAAACCCAAGATGGATTTCATTTATCTCAAGCCAATTATATCAAAGATCTCCTCAAAAGGTTTGAAATGAACTTATCCAAACCTGTAGCAACTCCCATGAGCATATCGATTAAAATCGACAAAGATAAGCAAGCTAAACCAATGGACGAAAAGAAATATCGAGGTATAATTGGTTCCTTGCTCTATCTAACTGCTAGTAGGCCCGACATCATATTTAGTGTTTGTATGTGTGCATGTTTTCAATCTGCTCCAAAAGAATCGCATGTCACCGCAGTAAAACGCATTTTTAGATATCTTGTTGGTACTCCATTTTTGGGTCTTTGGTACCCTAAAACAAATGTTTTTGACCTTTATGGTTACTCAGATGCCGACTTTGCGGGATGTAGACTTGACCAAAAAAGCACTAGTGGCACTTGTCATTTTCTTGGAAATTCACTCACATCATGGTTTTGTAAAAAACAAAATTCTATGGCTTTATCGATAGTTGAAGCAGAATATATTGCCGCTGCTAGTTATTGTGCTCAAGTGCTTTGGATGAAACAACAACTTCTTGACTTTGGATTTCACTTTGATCACATTCCTATTAAATGTGATAACACTAATGCCATTAACCTTTCAAAAAACCCAATACAGTACTCACGCACTAAACACATTGAAAGAAGGCATCACTTTCTACGATATCATGTACTTAAAGGTGACATCGAATTCAAATTTGTGCCTACAACCCAACATTTGGCTGATATTTTTACCAAGCCTCTCAATGAGGAACAATTCTACTTTATTCAAACTGAGTTTGGCATGTTAAATATTCCTATGTGATGTTAAACTATGTGTTATTATGCTTCATTGTAAAATTTGTTGTGAAAAACACTAGTTTTTGCCTTCCAGGACCCTTAAGGGTTGACCCCCTGCTCTATAGGGTCAACGCCTTGTGAACCAACCTTGTGCTTTTTGTTGTTAAGGGTCGACACCCTTCTTCGCTGGTGTCAACACCAGTTGGTTTTTAGCTCATTGCTTTTTAGGGTCGACACCTCTCTTCAAGGGTATCGACACCTAATGTGTCTAAGGACACTGTTTTTTAGTGTCAACCCCTTTTATCTATGGGTTGACACATGCCTTTGGCCAAGTTTTTTTTTTTTTTTTT